CTCTGCAAAAACCGGTACAGAATGCTCCTTTCCTTAACGAGGACAATTGTCCGGGGATCCCATCCCACTTTAGGGCTCAAATCCACTTTATACTAAAGAAAAATAAAAATAAAAATGAGATGTTTTCGGATTGCCGTACGTAATAAATGCTTACGTTTTTTGGGCGATTGATTTATCTACGGAATAAATTGGGGTTTTTATTACCGTTTAATAACATTTTTTCACATTTTATTTTTTTTTTGCAGGAAAAAACAATGCTGGATTTGTTATTTTTGTATCGCTGCTGCTGTATTTCATATACTTATCTAAGGTGAGAAGTCCAAATTTCTATTTACATTCAAATATGATTGTATCCAAAATGCCCCCCTTTTTCATTTCTGCCCCAAAACAAGTTATTTGAGAGTAGACTGCGAAAATAAAAGGCCTTCCTTGCTCGTTGTTATTGCCGGATGAGACGGCCGTTTAGGGTAAGAAAAAAAAACAGGGACAGGAGGTAGTCCCAAAACCATGTTCAGACGTAAATCGCTCAAAAAAAACTCCACAAGTAACTTGGAATAAATATTATCCTTATTAAACTTCGGAAAATGTGTCATGGTTACATTTGTAAAAGACCCTCAAATTATAACCTCAAACTAGGTTCCATGAAAGTCATTGACGCAAGCTCTTTTATTGTAGAAGCGTGCAAACGAGCTGGCCTTGCTTTAGATTTTTCTCAATTTTATTTTTTTTTGGTAAATTCCTTTCACAATCTTCTTTGCCAGGTCATGGATTACGTTTGCCCTAATCGGGCCAAAGCAAATTATTTCCAAGGCCTCGAAGATGGGGGCGGGTGAATACTATAGCAATATGAACAAATGAAATCATCGTCGTATCAGTTTTTCAATTATTTGAAGTTGATCGTACACTAAATGAAAGTTGATTGTACACTAAATGCCATACTTTCAGTAGGGTTGGCTACACGAATCACTTACTCAGATTTCCATAATATTCTTACATAGGGCTGAGAATTTACTCGATCCGGATTTGAGTCAAATTTTAAATCCCGGTATGGATCAAATCTGGGTAAAAGGGGATTCGATTCGGATTCAACCCGATTTTTAAACTAGTATATATCATTATTTTTTAAATATATATAGCTATATTTTTGTTAATTATCTATTTAATATATATTTAATTAATTTTGTAAAATTTTAGAAAACCTAATATGGATCCCATATAGTTTTTGGATCCAAACTCTATCCGATCTCATGTAAGAGTTTTAAAATATGATCATGATCTAAATATTCTATATCCAATCTGATCTGGATCCTGATCCATATCCAACATATACTATTCTGATTTGATTCAAAAATTTTCAGCCCTATTCCTACGCTAATATTACCAGCATCCAAATATGCGACATTAACCTAGGTTTACGACTGCATTCATAGCAAGGTTTAATTACTCGCACCAAGCGCAATTGGGAATGGGGGACATGTTGACCGTTGTATCAAAATCAATCTGTCCAATATTACAGTTCTTATGTGATCCGCTATTTATAATCATTAAGTAGTTCAATGGTCGAAGCATCCGCAACTAACTACAATAATAGGAGCGTCTCTGATGTCTCAAATATCGGGTTAAATCCAAAACAAGGAAAGAGGCTTACAATAGGGTTGTCCAATATTTGGTACATGAACAATTAAATATGAACGACCTTAATTGACCTACAAACTATACTTAAAATAAAATGAAATGAAAAACTGGTCTGGGTGCCAAAATATATAGAAAATTAAAATGCGATAAAGACGGACCAACGCGTAAATTTTACAAAAAAATATAGAGCACTATGTAGTATATCGAAAATATTTTCTGGTTTCTTTTGTAACTTTTCTTAAAATTTTACATAATAATATTTAGGGTGTGGTTTATATAAGGTTGTAATCTTATACAATCCAATTAAGACGCACCTCCAAATTTTATAATAATATGTAATTTTGGTGTAAAAAATTCTTAAGATTATCTGAGAACTAATTTTCATATCTAATTTTAAAGTTTTAAACTCCAAAAATTGTTAAAATCAAGTAGATCTATAAACACATGAAGATCTTGAATGTGAAAGATCTTGAAAATGAATGGTCTAGATAATGTGTTGCAAGGTGCATTATTTTTGAGACTCAAAATCTTTTTTGTTTTTCATATTCTTACATCTCAATGTCAAGATGATCAATTAGAGAGTTTTCTAACATTAAAACAACATTTTCTGGTGGAATTTTTCATGTGCATCTTTAATTCTACATTTTAAGGCTGCAACCTTTGTATAAGCTTTTCCCAAATATTTATCTTACCCTAAAAATTTTTTTTAAAAAGAAGTCAATAAAAATAATACTACATTAAATAAAAAGAAACAAAAAGAAGTCCATAAAAATGGCAAGGAAATGATAGTTGCCACTGGCTGAATAGAAAACAAATCAAGCTAGCTGGCAAGGCTGAGAAATAAAGCCAGACGGCAACGACCGAGTCAGGTGTTCGAGAGAGCAAAGTGAACGAATCACTTTCAAGAAGAGGCCATTAATTTTTTATTATATATTTCTAAAAATATTTCCATCTATTTGTCGACTCAATGCATATGATGTGCGCTAGTAACAATTAATCAACAAATAAAAGGAACAACAAAGAAGACAATGGAAAGAGAGACCACAAACAATGTACTTATACGATAATTATTTCTCTTTCCAATATTTATGTTTAACTTTTCAATCGTAACAAACTGATATTTACAAAGTGGGGTTACAAATTCAGATCAACTAGAAAACAGATTCTCGATGTGTATCAATCTTTGTTAAAGAAAACAAAAGTATACCTACACCTACACCGAGTTACCACATTGTGGTTTTCATTCCTACTAATAAGATCATCATGCTACTAACTTTAAAATTCTTAACTCCTAATCTACTTTAAAATACAGGTAGGGCATGACTGACCCCAAAAAAAAAAAAAAAAAAAAACCAAGTGAATAACAATAATCTCAGCATTTCGCTCCAATCAGCCGACATTTTCGATTGAGGAAGGCTCTAGCTCTAATGGGCATCATCGGCACAGTGGGCATGATGTGTTGTGTTCTACCAGGCACTTCATGATACAGTGGCTATGGAATTTGTGAGTGCACGGAATCACCCATGCATCTGTGTTAGCAACAAAGACACACTGCATTCTTCTTGCTCTCTGTTCTCTGTTCTCTATCTCTATCTTGTTTAGGTGCTTAAGTGCTTGGCTAATGGTGTCGATATTCATGAACATCATCGATATACTTAGCCGAAAACTTTTCAACCATCATCTCCAGGCGCACCTCACTTACAGCATAGGGAGGACAGTCATACACAACCATTATGTTCTCTAATTCCTCCCAAAGGAGAACCTGAAAATCATGGATTAAGTGCATGAAGAAACATGTGCGCTCGCTCATCTGTGGTTTGCACTTCATCAGAACCATGGTACATTCGTGTAACCATAGCGGTTCTGTCCCCCACCCACCCTACTGCGTCCGGCCGTACATCAACATATATTTGTTCCTAGAAATGTATGATGATATTTGCTCATAAAAATGTATGATGATGGAAATATTCACATCATTAGTAATGTCCGGAAGATCTGTTTGATCTCACGTGGAAAAGCAAGGAGTATCAAAATCCCTAACAAATAAATAAAGGGTAGTCCATGTAGAAATGGGTCGACTTTTAAAATTTTATTTTTGAAATGGATTTTTTTACCCAATTTTTAAGGACATGTAATCTCTAACATAGAGATCATGAATATATATAAAAATAAATAAAAATAATAGTAATGATTTTATGGATAAAACATTTGGACTGTTAGTTTCAATTGTTTTTATATTGACCACCTATTTGCATCCATCTTTAAAATTGATATTTTATACCTTGGAACTGTAGAAATACAGTCCAACCCAAATAAAATACTTTTTTTATAAATAAATACAAAAATATAATAATCCCTCATAGGGAGGCGTTAGTTATTAGTACCCTTGTTTGTAAGAAAAAAAAACAAATGATATAGAGAAACAGAAGCAAGTAGAAACAAATATTTCAAATTACAGCCAATTTATTTTGGAATTAATATAAGGAAAGAGTTTATATAAAGTTGAGCCTCTAAACAATCAAATTAAGGTGCACCTCAAAAACTCATTAAAATAGATTGCCACGACGTTGAAAAACCCTAAATTCGATCATCTCGAATTCAAGATGTAAAGACATGAGAAAAAATAGAATTCAAGTCCATGAAATAGTACATCTTGTAATGCATTATCTAGATAATCAGTTTTCAAGATTTTTATAGATTTTCTCGATATACACTGTTTTTTAATTTAAATTTTATAATTAGAGATGAAAATAAATTTTCAAGCCATCATAAATATTTCTTATTCTGAAATAAAATATTTCGACACTTTTCAAGCCATCATAAATATTTCTTATACTGAAATAAGATATTTCAGTACTATTTGAAGGCGAGTTCTAGTTTGATTATTTTGGGCCTCAACCTCATCCAAACCACACCCTTAATATTAGGATAGACTAGGATGATGATGAAGAAGATTATAACCCCTTCCCAAAAAAAAACGCAAGCCTAAGCCTAATTTGAATCTAGGTTGTTCTTATTACCGAGCCCTGTTTTCCTTAGCTCAATGACATGCATGCCTTAGATTGGTTGAGCCTCTTGCGTAGTGCTATATGTTCTCAACCTGCAAGTTTAGAGCATCCATAAATGTTTGAAGAACATTTCCCAGGTCCAGTAGGTCATTTGCATCTCCAGTGGCTGATGCAAAATCGCCGAGTAAGTTCAGAATTGATGGCTAGGGGATTCAAGAACCCCAGAATTTGCCTCTCTCTCTCTCTCTAAGAAGATGTTGGAGATGCTCCTCTGCAGAAGACAGATAATCCAATATTTGGAGCAGCTCCATATGATGATTCACTTTGAAGGAAGACCAATGACAAGATGAATTGATAACTGAGGAAACCGTAGGTGATATTAATTAGAATGAAAGCAGTTCACAGAACCTGGTAGATTTCTGCAATAAAATTACGGTCAACAGTATAAAATTATGTTAAATAGTGATCCATTGCCATCCCAAATGGGCATCTCTGTGCATACTGCTGTCCCCTTTCTAGTAATACTTAGTTTACATGACATTATGAAGTTGATCAGATGAAGAGACCGACGCTTTTGGCAATTCATTCTCATCTTCCTAGCAAGCATCGTGCAAAAAAATGGCAGCACCATGCATCACTTCCGTTTTATACCTGTCCGTTTCTAAACCCTGAGTCATCGTCTAATCAAAATGTCATCTGGACTCGGTTTGGTGATGGGAAAGGAAAGCTGGACTGTGTAGTGACCTGAGCAATGTTCTCACTCTTGAGGCCTAAAATAACCAAGAATACCAGGTACCAAAGCATCTTGTCTTTCTAAATTCATTGTTATGTAGAACTCTCAAGTGGGACCTGAGCAGTCAATCCATGCATACCCATCCATAGCATGATCTTTGGAAAAGACCTATCCTGTTGGAACAGCATCAAGGGTCTTCGAAACCAAATAAGGTAAGACTTCAAGCAACCATGTACGCATTCCTAGCATATCACAAAGCAAATATATATATTACAGTATTTCAACCATTTAGGGGTGGGCGGGGGGGGAGACAAAAGAACACTTCACAGTTGAATAATTGATAACACACCTAAAAAATGCACTACTCAGAACTGCCACCTATCCAATTGCAGCTCCGCTTCTGCCAGATCCTTTTGCGCTTTCTTTCTTCTATAAAATATCGGACAGTCCCGACTACAAGAAAGAAAAGCAATTTCTTAAATCTTGATTACAGAGATATTTTAATCATCATATGGGGTAGGATGCAAAGGAAAGTGAGTCAACCTTGTACAGAGCACATCCTGATGGAGAGAGCCTTGACACCTCTGGCACTCAGTCCATAGCCTCCCAAAAAGCATTTCTAACTCACTCACTGTTATATACACATGTCAACTTCACAATTAATCTACACATAGATGTAGGCACAGATAATCAGCTACCACTAGGGTCAAAATGAGTACCATTAGCAACTGTGCGGTTGTACAATTCAACTTCTCTTCCTTTGCAATGATTACAGAGTGTTTGCTCTGAATTTCTGGCACAGCAAGCACACATGAAGGTTAACTCATAGTACAAGTCTTGAAAATAGAGTTTTCCTGGCACTTAAGGAGAAGAGTAAGCAAAATGTTCAGTCGTTACCTGATTGGGGTTTTACAGCCAATGCAAGTCAGTTGTTTCTTCGCAAATTTCATGATACCACTGTTGGATGGAGTTGATATGGAAACAGCCCTTGTATGACTACCATGGAGAAGCTCTCTGCTTGCATTCTTCAGAATTGGCTCAAAGATCCGCAGAAGTGGCTGCACTATAGGAGATAGTTAAAGCCCAATTCAACTAGGAGATGTAAAGGTAAATTTTCATGACAATCTTAAACTCACCTTGCTAATTTGATTTTCTAAATAGTATTGAGGATCTATGGGAATGTTGTTCTCCAGTACAAATATAGGATCCTCAGACCTTTCATAGGCCTAGTTGTCAAAAAGCAGGTAATATTCTGAGAAATAAAAACCAATCAAGTGTAATCTGCAGTTGAATAATGTTGCACCACATACAGCTTACCTTGGCACCTTTTGCAGCTTTAATAATGACATAAGGAACACGATCTCCAACTGTTGGAGCAGTAGCAGCATCTCTCTATCCAACAAAGCAACCAAACATAGAACAGTAAGACCAAACATCTATTGATAACCTAAAATGTTGGCACAGAATCATCAAAACAGCACACGCTCAGGATAATTCAGAAATTACTTTTTCATAAGAAGATATTCAGAAGTCATTTTAGCATCAGATTATGCACTAACAGAGTTCCTAAAGAAATAGACCTCACTTTAAGAAAAACAGTTAGCTCATAGGGAGAAAGGCATGTTAACAAACTTCTGCTTTTATGAAATTAGAGAGAGCAGCACACTTAGATGATCACTACTAGCGTTTCCAAACTATGAACATTTTATACTTCAGGCAGCCATCTTCGCCACTGAACATTTACTTTTGCCACAGGCATTTCCAGTAATACAATTATAGTGAACTTTTCCTCAAAAAATGTGCATGACGATTTTGATCCAACCATCCTGCAGCTAACTCACAAAATAAGTTTCAAAATGAAACTAGTTGTTAGTTTCCCATAGGCATTATCCCATGGCAGTCAAAAGTGAGAAGACCAACATTTCAATTCAAAACAGTCTTTGGATTTCTAGTTCCCTCACAATTTACCCAGGATACTGCTGGCTTTTAAACTTATCCATTATCCCATGAGATTCTCTCGAGTAACTTCTTTGAAAGTATATATCATTCCATCTAAATAACAGATTTACTTCAAAACGACATGGTTTTATCTTTTATAAATATGATTCTACTGCCATTCATTTCCTCCAGCAGATCCTCTTCACCAAATACAGTTAGTATTTTTCAACAAAAGATTAAGAATGAGGATGTAACATAAAGATTTGTTTACTGATTGACTGGTATTCCCAAAGAAACCCCAGTCGGGTTGTATCCAAATATCCATCTTGAAACCCAACAGATCCAAAACATATCTTAAAAATCCCAGGTCCACATATGCCCTCATGGGCTTTAATGAGACCAACAATGATCAAAATTTCAGGTCTTCCTTCTTTATGTATTAAGGCAAGACCATAGATTATTTTTTTTTGGGGGGGTTTGGGGGGGCAGGGTTTTGGGCTTGGTTGGGGAGTGCCCATCCTTCCCCCCCGGTCCGGAATCTCGGTTTAGCAATCCCAAGGCCAGAGCCCTAACTTACAGGGATCTCAATCTCTATAGAAGGGGGAGCACGCACTGAAAATAGGGTCGCGAACCTAGTTTGAAGAGATCTCGATCAGGGAGAGTTTCAAAAAAATTTGAATCTTGAACTGTTATCTTCGATTTCATGATATTTTTTGTTTTCTGACTATTTTCTAGCTAAATGACCACGTATTGATGACTTTTGCTTTCCTTTTTTCATGGCTGTCATTCGCATGCCGAACCAGAATGACGAAAGTTCGCTTGGACCGGAGGGAGATCCCTAGTCCCCAGATGGTTCGCAACTGGAGAAATGCTTGGGTTGTCTAGACCAAGTGATTCACTATAGTAGATCCCCCAGTCTTGCCCGATTCACTGTAGGACTTGGGCAATTCCCGAGTTCGGTTCTTAACATGGCCCGACATTCTCATTTTTCTCAATTTTTTATGGGGTTTTCAAGCTATAAAGTTATCACTATGCATGTGCATATGTTATGCTAAAAAAGTGATACTACATATTTCAATTACAATATATACATGTGTATATAAAATGCCTTATATCAAGACACTTTATGAGCAACACTATCAGGCTCACAAGGTAGGGAGCTTCTGCCATTGATCGATCCCATGCTCTCTCACCCAGCAACTATAGGCAGGGAACTCAATGCAATCAGAGTACAATCCGACATCTCAACTCAAGGAAAAAGGCTCCCTGAGGAGTGCAAATGGGAAAGGATAAGATTCCCCATAATCTGTTAACTTGGACCTAGAAAATAATTTGTGATACACAAAATTAGGCATTTATTGATCTTGGGTCACTTAAGTTCTTCTAACACTTGACCGGAGTTTAGGGCAAGGTTAAACCATCCTCACCTATAGAATTCATGAGAGTATTGCTTGATGTCCACCTTGACCACATCCCATCAATATTGACAAAAAGCTGTAGTGATGCAATATAGTCACATTACCTACATCTGCCAAGAGAGAATACTGCTTTCCTATGCTCTAGGTTCAAATCCCACGCTGACTTGTGCAACAAAAATCGCCTTCCTAACCTCAACTTGCACATTCCCATTTCAAGATCATAATCATCCTCTCCATGATGCACTCAGAAACAAGAACATCTATGAGAGGCATCAAACTCTCCTTGGCTGTGGAAAATCTTCAAAAAATGGTCCAGCAGAGCACTGTACACAGGCTCACCTTTCTCTGATCAAGAATCCTCACATTAATGTAAAGAACAATGTTAAAAGAGCCATAGGCTCCTGCCTAGGCCTTTTGAGGGCCTGGCCACCTAGGCGGGAGCCCAAGAACAGGGACGAGTGGATTATTAATTAAGAGGAAAGTTATATTGTAGTTATTACTTATTAATCAATATCCATAAGATGTGGTTTTGGATATCAAATATTCACAAAATATCATTTTTGTCCAAAGTCTATGACTATTCACAAAAGCCCAATTTCATCATCCAAATAAGGAAAAATTCAATAAATTACAAAAACAATCAATCTTACAACTACAAACATGTAAATATATCGTAAAAGAAAACAATAAAATAAAAGAAAAAACAAATGATTAACAACATAATATGTGGTAGCAAAATCAAATTGAAATATGATAGTACTTTAAAAATATCAAAATCAAATCGATGTCGGTGCAAACCTCGTCTATTGGGTCACCAAAAGTCCTCAAAATCGACTACTCTCCAAAAACACCCATGAACTATTGCCTTTATTTTGAGAAGAAATCAAAAAAATTGAAAATCTATTGATCTTTCAATAAATCACAAATGAGAGGTTTTTGGGGAGTTTTTCACTCTCTAAAAGGTAAGGTTTTGGCTTTTGGGGTTTAGAATATCCCCCAAAACCCTTATCCCCACTTTTTAGGGGGGAAAAATAACAAACTGTCATGAGGCAGCGCCTTGCCCACCTAGGTGGGCACTTAGACGCAGGATGCCTAATAGTCCTGCCTAACTAGTGCCTAGGCCTTTTTGAAAATTTTCAGCCTAGACAGCCGAGCCGGCGAATTTGCAAACATTGGTTATGAATGAGATGACCTTTACTATGGGCATTTGAAATCTTCTTTTCTTCTTCTTTTTTCTTTCTATCGGGTTGGTTAACAATGTGATTCAAACCTAGGATGGGACATTGCAATTTTATGGAAACAGATGTATTTTTATAACCTTGCCTAAGCTAACTGAATCACCTCCTCTAATGTTAGCTGATCTCCTCCAAAGTCACAATACTGTAATAGGCCTGTTTCAGATCTGTATACTTGTGTTATTGTCAAAAGATAAGGCACAGATTACTTCAATCTTATACAGCATGATAATGCCCTCAAGGAATGGCCTCCCAGTCTACAATTTTAGTTTTGATTGTCAGAAGTTGCTAGAACATCCCTGTCATGAAAACCCTCTTGATATCCACTGAAAAATCCATTTTGAACCTTAACATTAAGCAAGCATAGTTTTGAATATGAATGGGGTGGGGCCTCTGACCAAGCAATGACTGAGTCAAATGTAACGGGCCAATGGTCTCAATTTCGTTTAGGTAGATCCATTTGATAAAACATAGAAATCTATCTTCTGAATCCCACAAAACTCTTACACCCAACAGTTCCTTTTAATTATGTCAAGACTTCTACAATAAGGGAGGCAGCTGCCGAAGAGTGTTGGTTAGTAGGTCTCCTAGGCAGTTCCCACTAGACAACCTTGCAGGAGAACACCCCGATAGGTTCCATTAACTATACAACATCTATCAGTGGATCCTTCATAACCAAGGCAGAGATGATTTCCAATACTCCATCGTGTACTCCACTGGAGAGACTCGTCACCATGGTAAAGCAATGAGGAAATTGCAGGACCCCAACTACACTCTCTCCAGGAATAGGATTGCAAGCAATGAAGTTTGCGTGCCTTTCAAAAAGATACTTAACATAATGACAGAGGCAGACTAGAAACCCAGGAACATTTGACCTTTAATATGGGGAGACCTCATAAGAAGTTTCCCGATATCAGTGTTATCCTGCCCCTTATTAAGGATCAGCACCAAAAAATATTTGAAGAGGTGAGGCAATATTGCCTCGACTCAACATACCCGCAACGATGAGGATGAGGCCCAGATGAGGGCTATCATGTGGATTCATAAGGTCTGCATAACTGAAAATATATTTTCTGGAAAATCCATTTTCGAGAGCAAGACCAAGTGACGAGCATGGAAATGTGGTGCAACCAAAAAAATGCCCCACCTGCCAGGCTGATAAGGACCTAGCATCTGTGACACTATGTGCACAGGAGACTGAAGTCATCAACTAAGTTCAAAGTGAGGAGAACATCAAAAGCAAGAAGACATCTATCAAATAACAGTAGGCTACACTACTTACTGAGCAACTATTTCACATGTGGCATGTGCAATAGAAGTGGTCAACCAATTCATGGGAGGCCCCATTTGAACACAATTTATAGGATTATATGATACCTAATGAACTTTCCAAGAGATAGGATTCACTTCTCTGCCATGGTCATCTCCAAATTTCATCCTGGCCTCACCTTGACTGTGTCCGGTTATTTGGACCAGAGGGCCATTATTTGTGGCAATTTTGTGATGTCAAACAAGAAAGATTCAGTGATAGCGAGATCTAGAAAAGTATAATATAGAACCATCGAATGTACAACCTGTGGAATAGATGACATTGTTTGTCAAAGATAGGCTTTGATATTCATTATCCCATGTTCGCACATGAATATGATAGAATAGCTACTCATTTTCTTTACAGTCCCATCTTCCAAGAGCAGACAAAGCATATCGAACTCCATTTCCAAGGAGATCTATACCCCATGTACGCCTAAAGATCAACCATCAGAAATGTTCATCAAAGCTCTCAACCACAATAAGCCGCATAACATAGTGGGCAAGTCAGGAAAGATCAAGCTTGAAGCGAAATACTCTATTTGTCTATATGTGTGAGTGTGAAAGACATTTATCTTTGGTACAATAAGGTTACCATAGCTTTCGCCCTTAAATGTGAAAGTGGACAGTTGGAGGTGTGCTGTTGACCATGCTGCAGTACAAAATTTCTTTTTTGAACTCTGTGACAATGATACGCTCCTAGCAGCCTGATTTAAAATCTGATGGCTAGGCGCAATTGTCACCTTGTACCAAGAGTAAACGGTCTTATACAATATATATATATATATATATGGAAAAAGTTTATATAAGGTTGTAAGATCAAAATGTAGAATTACGGATACACCTCAAACGTCCATCGGAAAAGGTTGTTTCAATGTTGAAAAACCTTCAAATTGTTCATCTAGATATCGAAGTATAAGAATATGAAAAAAAATAAGATTTTGAATGCAAGAAATAATGCATCTTGCAACACATTATCTAGACCGTCTATTTTCAAGATTTTCATATGTTTATAAATCTAATTGATTTCAACAACTTTTGTAGTTTAAAATTTTATAATTAAATATAAAAATAGGTTTTGAAATAATCCTAATAATTTTTTACTCCAAAATTACATATTATGATAAAATTTAGAGGTACGCCTTAATTGGATTGTTTAAAGTTGCAACCTCATAGAAACCACACCATATATATATATATATATATATATCATCATCATCATCAAAAGCCATTTCCCAACTAATTGAGGTCGGCTATACGAATCCTATTCCGCCATTTTGCTCTATTAAGGGTCATACCCTTAGTGAGGCCACGAGTCTCCATATTTTTGAGTCCCCATATTTTTTCTTACTACTTCCAACCAAGTCCTTTTTGGCCTACCCCTTGCCCTTTTTGAGCCTTCCACTTTAACTAACTCGCACTCCTAACAGGTGTTGTACTGGATCTACGCCACACATCTCTAGCCCACCTAAGTCTACTTTCTAGCATCTTATCGCCTACTGGTGCCACACCTAAATTCTCTTGAATGTATTCATTTCGAATTTTATTCCTTCTTGTCTTGCCACTCATCACTAACACCCTTATCTCAGCTACACTCATACTATGGGTTTGTTGTTTCTTGATTGCCATTCATCCATCTCAACATCCTTATCTCAGCTACACTCATAATATGGGTATGTTGTTTCTTGATTGCCCAACATTCCATCCCATATAAAGTTGGTCTTACAATTGTCCTATAGAACTTGCCATTCATCTTTATTAGTATGCGATGATCACATAAAACTATGGTTGCACATATCCACTTCGCCCACCCAGCTTTAATTTTATGCGCTACAGCCTCCTCAATCTCTCTATTTTTTTGGATTATCGACCCAAGATATTGAAAGTACGTTCTTTTTTGTATTTCTTGGCCGTCAATCTTAACTACTTCCTTGTCTCTATTATTATTACTAAACTTGCATTCCATATATTTTGTCTTAGTATATCTAATTTTAAAAACTTTAAATTCTATAGCATTCCTCCAAACTTCTAACTTTGTGTTGATGCCGTTTCGAGTCTCATCGATCAAAACTATGTCATCCACAAACAACATGCACCACAATACCTCATCTTGTAGGTTCCTTGTTAAGTCATCCATAACTAAGACAAAGAGGTATAGGCTCAATGCCAATCCCTAATGTAGACCTATGGTCATTGAAAACTCACCCCTCTCCACTAGTTGTTCGTACACTAATTAGCACTCCCTCGTACATATATCTCACCAAGTCGATATAGTGTCTTGAGACTCATTTCTTTTCCAACATCTACCAAATCAAATTGCTAGATACTAAATCATAAAAACCATGTAGAGGTCTTTTTCTTTGGCCCTAAACTTCTCAATCAGTTGCCTAAGTAGGAAAATAGACTCGGTTGTTGACCTCCTTAGTATACAACCGAATTGGTTTTCGTATGCACTCGTAACTTGTTTCATGCCTTAGTGGTTGCTCAATCACTCTCTCCCACAACTTCACAATGTGGCTCATAAGATTGATCCCTTGATGGTTCGCATAATTCAATATGTCTCCTTTGTTCTTGTATATAGGTACCACAATATTTTCCTTCTTAGACATATATATATATATATATATATATATGAAAAATGTTGGCGTAGCCCCACTAGCCTATAGCTACATAAAACTCCAATGGCTCAGATTCAATCTGGGCCGATCTGATGGTCACAACCTCATTTCGTATTTGAATTTTAATTTTTTTTTATACAAATCCAACTCATATGAAATTTTAAGTGTCTATTCTTCTCATCAAGGCGCATCTAATAAAAATATTAAAAAAATAATTCGCAAAACATAAATTGACCAAAATACCCCTAAAGTTTTGAGGGTATTTTGGTTTTAATT